GAGAGCCTCGCCGCCTTGGCCTCGGGTCCGAGCTGGGCCGACTCAAGTCCCTTCTCGGACTTGCGGTCCTGGGGAGTGGAGACCAGGACTGGGACACGCCCCCCTCCCGGGGCACTCGGAGAAGTTGTCTAACCCGGGGGCAGGGAGCCCCGAATTTGAGGGTGACCTGACATAACCTGGCACCAGGATGATTGTTCTTAATGAGACACGCAGGCCTGGGGAGACAGCCGTTTCTGCTCTGGAAAACATCTCCAGAAAAGGTCCCAAAACACATCTCTGGGCAACAGGACACCCTAATTATGATACCTCTAAACTGAGTGGTAGCCTTTGCTTCTGCAACCGTAATTTCTCCTAAAATTTCAAGGCCAGGATATAATATCCCAGGAGAGCTCTGGAAGCTGGGAAACTAGCAACTAGGTTTGGGGTTGGGGGGAGGGCAGTTACCGTGAGGAGAGCCAGTCACTAGAGTTGAAAGAGGACTCAAGAAGCTGGTGATGGGTGCCTGGTGGTTTCCTATCCAGGTGTCTCAGGGATTTGGAGATGGGGGCACAGATCCTTCATTCTTGACGGCAAAATAGGCAAAGAAAATGGGGAAGTTGGCCGGGTGCGGTGGCTCACGCCTGTAATCCCAGCACTTTGGGAAGCTGAGGTGGGTGGATCATGAGGTCAGGAGTTCGAGACCAGTTTGGCCAACATGGCCAACACCCCCTCTCTACTAAAAATACAAAAAATAGCCAGGCGTGGTGGTGGGTACCTTTAATCCCACCTACTTGGGAGGCTGAGGCAGGAGAATTGCCTGAACCCAGGAGGTGATGGTTGCAGTGAGCCAAGATTGTGCCACTACACTCCAGCCTGGGCAACAGAGCAAAACTCCATCTCAGAAAAAAAAAATGGGGAAGCTTTCTGAGCATTCATAACCTTCTCCTCCCCATTTCTTTTCTGGCTAGGCCCCCCAGGATGCAATGGCGCAGCCCCCCCGGCTGAGCCGCTCTGGTACCTCCTCACTTTGGGACCCAGCTTCTCCTGCTCCCGCCTCTGGCCCCAGGCCTCGACTTTGGGAGGGTCAAGATGTGCTGGCCAGATGGACTGATGGGCTGCTATACTTGGGTACCATCAAAAAGGTAAGACCTTCTACCTCTGATCTTTTTCCTATTTCCCTTATCTGATTCTGGTTCCCATTTCATCCTCTTTGCTCACCCATTCCAGGTGGACAGTGCTAGAGAGGTGTGTCTGGTCCAGTTTGAGGATGATTCGCAGTTTCTGGTTCTATGGAAAGACATTAGCCCTGGTAAGACTAGAGACCTGAGATTGCACATCCCATGGAAAACAAACCTGGCTTAGAGGGGCAGAAAGAGACTTAAGGGCAGGCCCCGTGACACTGTGTTCTCTCACAGCTGCCCTCCCTGGGGAGGAACTCCTCTGTTGTGTCTGTCGCTCTGAGACTGTGGTCCCTGGGAACCGGCTGGTCAGCTGTGAGAAGTGTCGCCATGGTGAGAGGGCAGGTCACCTGAATGGTCTAGCTTGCTCTTCCCTCCAGGATGGTCCTTATGTCACCTGTCATGGCCTTAGTCCCCAAGCCACTGCTCTGGCCAGGCTGCTTAGCCCTATCTTAGTCCTCATCCCCTTTCAGCCCAGGGAGAAGCAGCCATGGAAAGGGGTGGCGTAACCTTTGCAAGCAGAGGATGGTTTAACTGCATCCTTTTCTAACCATATGACCTTGGACAAGTCCCTTAACCTCTAGGAGCCTCAGTTCCCTGACTCGTAAAATAAGGATCATGTACCCTCTCATCAAGAACATGGTCAAGGATTAAATGAGATGGGTAAAGACTATTCCTGTCCCAATACCAAGCACACACAGGTATGCAATAAGTGGTCTACTATTAACTTTATCACTCTTCAGCTTATCACCAGGACTGCCATGTTCCCAGGGCCCCAGCCCCTGGAGAGGGAGAGGGCACATCCTGGGTATGCCGCCAGTGTGTCTTTGCGATCGCCACCAAGGTAAAGGCACTTCCCTGTTACCCCTTCCTGTGGGAGCCTCCCATCCACATCCTCTCCCAAGCCTTTTCCTCTCCCCACCCCTCTGAAGTCATCCACCTGTCCTGTCTCTGCAGAGGGGAGGTGCCCTGAAGAAGGGCCCCTATGCCCGGGCCATGCTGGGTATGAAGCTCTCTCTGCCATATGGACTGAAGGGGCTGGACTGGGATGCTGGACATCTGAGCAACCGACAGCAGAGTTACTGTTACTGTGGTGGCCCTGGGGAGTGAGTAATGAGGGGGAGCAGACTGGAATGAATGATGTGGTGGTGCCTCCCAGGAAATGAAGGAAAAAGAACAGGATGAGGGTAGCACTCAGGGGGATGGGAGGTAAGTTTAGGGTTTGGGGCAGTTATGGGGAAGGGGGTTTCTGGAGGCCAGAAGTCCTATGTTCCCCCTCAGGTGGAACCTGAAAATGCTGCAGTGCCGGAGCTGCCTGCAGTGGTTCCATGAGGCCTGCACCCAGTGTCTGAGCAAGCCCCTCCTCTATGGGGACAGGTGAGACCAAGGCAGACTCTCCAGAAGCCAAAGTGTTCTCTTTCTTCGTGCTCCACCCTCAGTTCCCATGCCCGTCTCCACTCCAGTCTCTTCCCAATATCTGCAGCATTACCTCACCTGTTTGCCCCATCCTTGCTTGTGAGTCCTCCAGGGGATGGCATAGTTTTCCTGCGTAAGTGTGTGTTCTCCCTCTTGCCCACGTCCAGGTTCTATGAATTTGAATGCTGTGTGTGTCGTGGAGGCCCTGAGAAAGTCCGGAGACTACAGCTTCGCTGGTGAGCTGGCTTGGGCATGACCTCAGTGTAACTCCACACCCCTAGTATTTTACTCTGTATGCCCCAGCCTCGCACCTCAGGACTCCCCTGGCTCTTAAAATGCCTCTGTGGTCTTGGAAATTTTGTTTTTCCAGGGTGGATGTGGCCCATCTTGTCCTGTATCACCTCAGCGTTTGCTGTAAGAAGAAATACTTTGATTTTGATCGTGAGATCCTGCCCTTCACTTCTGAGAATTGGGACAGTTTGCTTCTGGGGGAGGTAAGGGGTAGTGCAGTTTTGGGGGTTGGGATGGGACAGGGAGATGTAGTGGAAAGGGGAAGAGAAGAAATCACTGTTCCCCTGGCCCCATTTTTCTTCATTCCTCCCAGCTTTCAGACACCCCCAAAGGAGAACGTTCTTCCAAGCTCCTCTCTGCTCTCAACAGCCACAAGGACCGGTGAGTTGGAGGGAAGAGGAGTCTAGGATGAGACTCAGAAAGAGATGGAGATTGGAAGCCTGGAAGGGGAGGGGCTTGCAACCCACCTGGAAGACTATGACTGAAAAGGATTGAGGAATGGTGTAAGGAGGAACCCTTTTTTTTTTTTTTTTTTTTAACAGCACTGACCCTATATCATTTTTCTTCTTGCTCCAGTTTCATTTCAGGGAGAGAGATTAAGAAGAGGAAATGTTTGTTTGGTCTCCATGCTCGGATGCCTCCCCCTGTGGAGCCCCCTACTGGAGATGGAGCACTCACCAGGTCACTGGTCCAGGGGGGATGGGGGAAATTCTCAGGGTGTTAGTGCTGGCGGGTATATGTATAGAGATGGGGAGGTCTTTGGGGTGTCCGGGAGGGGGCTGGGGGGATAAGGAGGCCTCTTACAGCTTCCCTTCAGGGCAGGGCCCTGGGGGAGGGGTCTCACGTCCCCTGGGGAAGCGCCGGAGGCCGGAGCCAGAGCCCCTGAGGAGGAGGCAGAAGGGGAAAGTGGAGGAGCTGGGGCCACCCTCAGCAGTGCGCAATCAGCCCGAGCCCCGGGAGCAGAGGGAGCGGGCTCATCTGCAGAGGGCACTGCAGGTACCGGGGCAGGGGGAACCCTATGGAGCAAATGGTGGGGTGTGGGAAGGAGTCAAGGATTACCTCTCAGTCCTTTGCCCCCTCTTCTAGGCCTCAGTGTCTCCACCATCCCCCAGCCCTAACCAGACTTACCAGGGCAGCAGCGGCTACAACTTCCGGCCCACAGATGCCCGCTGCCTGCCCAGGTCAGTGCTCCTCTGCCTCCCCCCCACAAAATATGCTCCCATTTATTCACATTTTCTGGACTTTCTCACCCAGAATTATTTTCCCTCTCCCCCTTGGCTACCCACTTCTTGGCCTAGACCAACTTCTAGAACTAGTGTCTGGTAGCCAGTATTCTGGGGAAGGGAGTCCCTTGTGGGTAGTGTTTGAGCTCTGCACTTCCCCGGGGGAGAAGGTCCTGTTCCCCTGCTTCAGGTCCTGACTTGCCCCACTCCAACCCCAGCAGCCCCATCCGGATGTTTGCTTCCTTCCACCCTTCTGCCAGCACCGCAGGGACCTCTGGGGACGGTGAACCCCCAGACAGGTGAGATTCTATTTTCTATTACCAGCAATGCTCCTCTTCCCCTCTATGTGCTCAAGGCTCTTAGTCTCTAACACTGTTTCTCTGATTCACATGTGCTCTCCATTTCTGCCCATTTCTTACAATTGCCTTCTCTCCCTAGGTCACCCCTGGAACTTCACATTGGTTTCCCCACAGACATCCCTAAAAATGCCCCCCACTCGATGACTGCCTCAGCTTCCTCAGTCTCATCCCCATCCCCAGGTCTTCCTAGACGCTCAGCACCCCCTTCTCCCCTGTGCCGTAGTTTGTCTCCTGGGACTGGGGGAGGAGTCCGAGGTGGGGTTGGCTACCTGTCCCGAGGGGACCCTGTCCGGGTCCTTGCTCGGAGAGTACGGCCTGATGGCTCTGTGCAGTACCTGGTTGAGTGGGGAGGAGGGGGCATCTTCTGAACAGCTTGCCTCTGCCCACCTCCCCATTCACACACACCGGCACTTTCATACCCTGACCTCTGACCTCACCTACAGCTGGGATGTACCTGGAGAGATAGGGGATAGTTCTCCCTACTGCCCAGGCTGGAATCCAAGAGTAGGGGGTGGGGAAGAGGCTCTCTTCTCTACCTTCCTTCATGATTCCTGACCCCTCCATCCTTCCCATTTCCTTTGATGTTATTTTGTTACAGCTTTTTAAATATTTTTTAAAATTATTTAACCCCTGGGGGCAGAGACTGAGGAGGGAGGATGATAAGGGATCCCGGACTCTGTATGATTGAAATAAAGAGAAATAAATCTAGCAGCTCGGAGTCATTCTGAAAGATGTAGAGAATACAGGGACTAGAAGCACTTATATTCTCCCAACAAATTTGCATACATGACAAGGAAAAAACAGGCAAAAGGCAGAAAGACCTAAAGACAGGATTTATTGGGGGCCCGGTCATCACCTGGAAGTCAGAAGGCATTGAGTATCAAGGGGATCACGGCAGGAACAGGGCTCATCATGGCAGGACTGTGCTGGAGTCAGAAACTGACTCTGTGACCTGGCGCACCCACTGCAGGTATGGAAAGTTCCCCTGTTCCACAGGCAATGCAATTACCTCAGCCACTTCGTAAGGGTGTACAGAACTACAAGATAGGTGGGTGGGGGAAGGGGATTACTCAAAGATTGACCTAAAGGAACCCACTCCCTCGCGCAAGCAAGTCACATCCCCACAGTACACACCCTCAGTACACACCCTCACCCCATACATCTCAAAGTTCTCACCGAACAAAATCTGTCAAAGCCGGGACCAAGGAACTTTGGGTTTTAATCATCTAAGGGACAAAGATAAACATGGTTGAATCAAGGAGTGGGACTGAGTTCAGTTTCTCAGAAGAGGGGTAAGGGCTAAAGGGGTCAGGGATTGGGGAAATTTTGTTGGGTGGGGGAAATGTTTCTCACCATCAGCACCTCACTGTCTTCCTCGATCTTCCCTTTCCACTCATAGCTGAAAGGTCAGAGGGGGAGAGTTGTGAGGAGCAAAGAATTTCCCCCAGGAAAGAGGTTCCCAGTCAGCTCCTACAGTTAGGTTAACCCCCCAACTCCTATGACTCACATGGATGTAATCTGAGGGATGAGGTTGACGCAGGCTGCTAGGCGCTTCTCCACCACAGCCCTGGAGTGAAGAGACAGTCCCATTCAGAGTGCCCCATGACCCCAGTTTTTGTACTGGCAGCCCAGAGACAGGCTTGCAGAGCTGAAGAGAGGAGAAAGCGGCACTCTTCTGCCCCACCCCCAACTCTCCCTTCATGATCATCCTTTCTCGCTGAACATCGAGGTCCCTACCTGGCGATCTCCTTGGCGACCTTCTCGTTGGGGCAAGTGACAAAGGCTGCAGACACCGAGCCCGGAACGTAGCCGGAGCCGGAATCCGAGGCTGGGGAGGGCTGGGTCGGAGGGCTTCCAGAGGCCATGGTCAGCAGGGCTCGGGGTAGCAACAAAAGGCGGGAGGCTACAGGCAGCAGCGCCGGCATCCAAACAAAAGACAGGAGCAGAGAAGCCTGAGAGCAGGAGGCGAATTCGATCTCTCCTCACCAACAGCCCAGGAAATTACACCCAGGGAAGCCTCTGCTTAGATACTCAGGCTCTGCCCTCCCTCTGATGTACCCCGAAGAAGAATGCCCCTGAAGGTGAGAGAGAAACTTGGAAAAGTAAAGCAAAGGCTCATTTCACTCACACCTCAGGGGGCCAACCTCTGGGATTTGGGGTGCAGGTAGCGGTCGAGGCTTCAAGGACCGGAAGGGGCGGGACGGGGCCGGTCACTCACCACTCCGCCGAGCAGGACCGCGGGAGCCCGCCCCCTACTCATGCGGCCTACGCTGGTAGAGGAGAGTTGATCTCAGAGGCCACACGTCACACGGAGAAACAACCCCAGGAAGAGCAGCCTCTTACCTGGGTGGCAGCCACGTGATAAGAAAACAGCGCGCACCATGTGACAGTAGAAGGGGGACCACCCGCGCTTCCAGAGCCAGCCAATCCTGGCCCTCTCGTGGCGCGGTTTGCCCGCCTCCTGATGAGGGCGGAGCGATGGGAGACTTGACCAATCGACCGCCGGATCTGCAGACGTGCGCGGAAATGGCACGCCCGTTTCCGTGTGAACCCGAAACTACCACTTGCTGGCTGAGGAGAGCCGCTGCGGCGTTCCACTGTCACGTGAGGGGGCCGGTCCTCTCCGGCGGCGGCACTCAGTGAGTGACGCCAAGTGGCCAATCACAGGCCAGCCCTGCAGGCCACGTGAGGCTAGTGCTGGCTCCAGGAAAGGGGGGGGCCGGAGACCCCGCATAGTCGATGCGTCAGGCTGTGGTGTGGGGAATCATTCTGAAACCCCACGATGTGCCTAACCTCCCCTGCACTGTTTCCGAGGCCTTAAGGTGTGGGAGGGTCTGAGAAAGACCCTTCACCCCAACCTCAGGGGTTAAGAGAGCGCCCCCTGCCATTTTAGTTGGGACAGAGATATGCCTGGGTTTGGGAATGAACAACGGTGATCTAGAAGCCCGCTGTCCCTGGGTAGCGGGGAGTGATTAGGCAGGCATGGGCATGGCACAACAATAGCTAGGTGAGGAAAGATGCATTTTAAAACAGAGCGAGATTCTGTAAATGGGGTAGAGGATGGTGAAAATGGGGCCTAGCCATCTTAATTGAAAACCCAAAGCTTGAGACAGACTACTGAATCAGAGGGAAGGAGAAAGAGGGCTGCAGGATGGGGACAGTGGTGATGGTCCTTCTGTCCCCTCTTCCCTGCCTATTCCACTCCCCAGGATTGGTCCACCTCTCAGCCTTGGGTCTCCTTTCCCTAACCCATCCCCTGAGGAGCCAGGACCTGCCCTACATAACTTCCCTGGGGCCCAAGCACATCCTGTGACCCAAAAATGGAGAGAGGGGCCAGTGAGAGGCAGAGAGGTGGGAGGAGGCGCAGAGAAAAAAGCTCTTGCCACTGCCCCCACCCAGTATTTCCCCTCCCTTCAAGGTCTGAGGTCATTGGTCTGGTGGTGGGGATGCCTCGGAGTTTCCCAGGCTGACGTCAGGGTTCTACCTCTCGGAGGTTCTAGGGCAGGGAAGTGGGGAGGGGAGGTTCCCTGAGATCTCTGTCTTTGAGTTTGGAGTTTGTCTCTGAGACAGATTTCGGAGGGGTCTTTCAGTATTTGTGTGGAGATCTTTCTTAGGACTGAGTTTCCTTTTATGTTTTTGGTCTGGGGGGTTTCTATGTTTCAGGGTCTGTGGTCGCACTCTGAGGTCTTTCGAAGTCTTCTTCATGAATTTTGGGTCTTGAGTTGTCCATCTCTGGACCAGCTGAGGTCTCTCTCTATCTCCCCTTAAATCTGGAGTGTCTCTGTCTCTGAGTTATCAGTCTCTGAGATCTGAGTCTGGGGTCTCTCTCTAGGTCTGAGTTCTCTAAGCTCTAATTCTACATCTGGCTCTTTCTGAATCTGGGCCTCATCTTTTTCTGAGTCTAGGTCTCAGGTCCTGGTCCCTGAAATCATCATCTCAGGGTCTGGAGTCTAAGATGTCTGTGGGTATGGAGAACCCTTTTGAGCCTGGATTCTCAGATTTTGATCTTGGGTTCCTCTCTCTGGGGGATCTGGGGTCGTTTTTTCCTCAAATCAGGAGTCTCTTTTCCTCTAGATTTTGGGCCTGTGTCTCAAATTAACCCACGGTGGGGGGTGGTGAAGTATCTTTCTCTGTGGGTCTAGGGTCTCTCTCTCAAGGTCTGGGGTCTGCATCTTTAGCACCTCTGTCTTTCTCTGGTGTGTTTTTGAGTCAGGGGTCTCTTTCTCTCACAATCTGGGCCTCCCCGAGTAGGGGTGGGGGCTGCAGAGTCTCTCCCTCCTCCTCCTCCTCCTGCTCTCTTAGCTCTCGCTCGCTCCCCCGCCCCCCCTCTCTCTCGGCTGCCGCTGCTGCCGTTGGCTCTTATTCTCCTCCTCCTCCTCCTCTCTCCTCCTCTCTGCTTCTCTCTGCTCCTCTCTCCTCCTCTCTCCTCCTCCTCCTCCTCCACCTCCTCCTCCTTCTCCCCCTCTTTCTCCCCCTCTTTCTCTCTTCTTTCTCCCCCGTCCCCCGCCTCCTGATGAGGGCGGAGCGATGGGAGACTTGACCAATCGACCGCCGGATCTGCAGACGTGCGCGGAAATGGCACGCCCGTTTCCGTGTGAACCCGAAACTACCACTTGCTGGCTGAGGAGAGCCGCTGCGGCGTTCCACTGTCACGTGA